TATATGTCCTGAGATACAGCTTAAACAATATATAATACCCCAACCAAATTTAGGAATATAATCGTACTTTGAAACCCTGCTGAATGCAGTGCCAAATTGTGTGTGAAAAAAAAAAAAAAAAAATACTTATTTAGAAAAAAAATTATACCTGTTTTAAGCTATTACTCCAAATTTTCATGCAATTTGTTAACTATGAAGCCCAGTGGAACAAATTTTCTTTTACCATCTTCAAATACAAATTAAAGTGTGTCATTAATAAAATTGATAATATTGTTACGTCATCATTTTGTATCATAAATGGCTTTTAAAAGAAATCCAACAGGTTTATGGATTGCCTAGTTGTAAGTTAAAATTGTCCTTTAAAATTATCTCTAGATTATTCTAACATATAGAATAAAAAACTAAATGAGAAATGGAGGCATGACAAGGAATTAAGTACACAAAATATTTAAATTTAAATGAAATCACACACAATGGTTAAAAAAAAAAAAAAAAAAAAAAATGTAAAAGGTAGATTCTGATAGTCAACCTGCAAGAACATGAAATCAATATTCTTTGCACATAGAATTTAATCTTTTCAACACTTGCCAGATCAGGTGGTGTTAAGGTTGTAACTTAGAGATAGGTTCTTGAACTCTTTCAGAAAGAATCTAGGAAGTTAGTTATTTGAATATAAATAGAAATTATGCATGAGAAATTTTTTTTTAAAGCTAAAATATAAATCATTAAATTTGAGCATTAGAATAGAGGTATACTATTCTATCCACTTATAAGGGATATATTGAATTCAAAGTAGAGTACACATCTGTCAAATAAGCCCCATATGTAGAAATTATAAATTTATTGACTAAAAGTATTATATTTCTGTCTATAAATGTACTTTTTACAATAAATAAAAATAAAAAATATTATATTGAATCTAATATACTGGAAATATGGGAGGCCAAGCACCAAAATTTCAAGCTTCATAGCAAAGAATAGAGATGAAAGGTAGTGAACAAGAGTTCTGAAAAGGTACATTAAAATGAGCATTTAAAGAATGGCAAGAATAGTACTTCTAGCAATGAACTTTACTTAAAATAACTCAACTTACATTTTATCTAACATTGACAATGTAACTTTAAATAGCAAAGAAATTTAAATTGTTTCAGCAAGGTCCATCCATAGATTGCAAGCATGTATCAATGGACTAAAAGCAAGAAAGAAGACAGTTAATGTAATTTTTTTTTTTTCAAAGTCGGCATTTTTCTCAAAGAAAAGCAACAAATTTGAAACCACATCCAATGCATTTGGTAGCTATCTTCTAAGCTTAAAGACAAACCATGTTTTCCTTTTTATTTGCAAGATTTAAATCAAGTAAATTGTGACAAGCTTAAATGTAAAAAGTATCCTGTAACATTGTCCTTTTAAGAAGCAATTACGATGACACCACTAATTCATCACAAGAGTCAGTTGAGGCCGACAGGAAGAAATTCATTGAAACTGTAAGTGAACACATTTTATTAACAAACTTAAAGTTTTTAATCGTCTACAACTTATCCTCCACATTCTCCCCTCAATTTCAATGTTTTTCTAATTCTCTTTAAAAGATTGCTGTATTTGACAAATATTAGTATTTATATATTTTGATAAAAGGATAAATTGCTACATGCAGGTTCTGTTATATTCAAAAGATGTTATTTGTAAGAATTACAATATCCAAGTATCTATTGCCAAAACGAAACCAAATTTTCAGGTTTATTCAAAGTAAAGAAAATATTTCAAAGGTTAATAAAATTTTGCAAATAATTACGACGAGAGAGAAAACAAACTAGGAAAAATAAAGATTCTTTAAATGATAAGACTTAGTTTAGCAAACAGAATGATTTTTTATAATCAAACTTAGGATATTAAAAGGACAAAAATATATTAGGTTGATACAAAGTTCCCAGTAGCATCTTTTGTATAATGATAGAGAAATCTTAAGTGGCTGAGGTTTGTTAAACTCTATCTTGTATGTAATTAGAATATGTAAACTAAAGCTGAATAAGAAGAAAAAAAAAGTTCTAACAATAGATTCCACATCAATATGTTTAAACATCTCTTGCTCAAGACACACAAATTCCTGGTGATAAAAAATGTATTTATTATGAGAACCTAAAAATGAAAAAAAATCTTGGTACATTGAGAAGAGTTCAAAATCTAAACCTAAACACAATCTGCTAGAGGGAGAGGGTAAAAATTATGTTTGGTGGAATTCAAAAGGAATTCTTTATTATGAATAACTGAAACCTGAATAAATCCTTACTGTAGAATATTAGTGAGAAATTGGCTCATTTGAATGACGCAATGAAATAGAGAGAAAAAAAAAAAAAACACTTTCAAGGAGAAACAAGCCAACTGCTAATTTTTTTGCATGACAACATCAGTCTCCATGCTGTAAATTCAATTTAGCAGACTATAATTCAGCTGAAAAAGTGAGGATCTTACACACACACAGCATATTCTTCAAACTTGACACCATCACTTTTTCTTCTTCATCCCATACAACACTGTCCTGTTAGAATTTTAACAATTTCAGGATGTTAAATTATCCTAAGAATTTATCAAAACTGGAATTGCTCTTTTATGATAAAATATACAGTTCACCTGAAATGTGGTCTGAGTTCATAATAATCCAAAGAATGTACTGACCAAATAAGGATACAATGAATTTATATGAACAAATAATTTTGTTAAAAATTATTAGAAACTTGTGCATCAACCTAATAAATTAAGTATTAATGTTCAGAATGATTCGAGTGAAGCAGATGTCAAGTCATTGTTTCCCAATCTTTATTATTAGATGCCTATGTTTTTCATTTTCATACAATATATTAGATAAGCCACTTTTGTGCATGTGTGTGGTGCTGAAAGTTTCTCAGTCTAACCAAATTCCTAAATCTAACCAAATGACCAAAGATCATTTTTTTTTTTTTTTTTTTTTTTTGAGAGGAATCTTTTTGGCCAGTCAATGAACATTTCGGCACCTCCTTGTAATTAGAAACACTAAATTTTATGTGACTAACATAGCATTGAGCAAGAGGTGTTGAACTCAATACTTAAGCCCCACAGTAAAGCATTGACAGAATTTGCTCTTTAATGGGAGGAATTTTTAGCTTCTGTTTTAGGCACAGACTAAAAATCTGGACAAAAGGAGATATTTGAAGACAATATGATAATTCTTGAAGGCTTTGGTAAAAGTGTAGAGATCCAGGATAATTATATTTACAGAATACTTGTTAACTCATGGTACATATGTTTCATTACCTAAGAAGCAAGGGGTTAAGTTTCATTAATGCAAGCGCAAGTAAAATTGCATATGCATGTAAGAAAAAAAAAAGGAAAAGGTTTGTTGGAATGCTTGCAAGCATTTTAACATATGCAAGCTAAAACATTTTGGAAAATATAGGAAAACTTTAAAGCATGTCTGAAAACATGAAGCAGCATATCTAATTGGGGGGGGGAAATATTTAAACTTGGACCCTAGATTTGTTGTTTTCATTGTAATATTTTAGTTAGTGTACACTTCATCCCTCGTCTAGTTTAGCCGAGCAGATAAAGACATCACTTCCACTATCAGTTTGCTTTGATCACTGGAATACAGCAGTTCACCAGTTTGGTTTGCTGGGACAAGAAAACAGTTCACCTCTTGGAAAGGTCAGTTCAGCTCAAGAGTGACTGGTAGACAGAGACTGGCAAATAGTTCAACCCCTAGAAAAAAGAAAAGATACACTGCAAGGGACAATGATATGAAAACCCTTAGGTTACACAAAACATACACGTGAGGAAGGCTAAGGAGTACACCACCAAATATGTCATGAAAAAGATGATGCTAGTTGGAAGAGTTATTGAGTGATAATACTTTTTCATAAGATTTCTAACAATTTTTTTTTTTTAAGAAGCCAATGTTTAAAAAACATTTAGCATTTTCAAAGTGACATTTTAACCAAATTGTTTTTATTTGCAATAGAAATGGTTTTGATTACACCTGCACTCTCCTCAGCCCCATTCATCATAAGATAAATTTAATCTGACCTCAGAATTTAATAAAAGTTTCTACAACTGCCCAATGATAATAATTTTAATACAATCAGAGTTACATGACTGCTTTTTTTTGTTTTGTTTTTTTTTTAAATCAAGTGAACATTTGAAAGTCAAAATATTTAGAAGAGCAAAATTGAAAGAAAAAAAAAAAAAAAAGAAAAAAAAAAAAAAAAAAGGATTGATCAATTCAACAAAGCATCCAGAATGAACTTCAATTGTATTGAATTAGCAGAGTGACAGAAAGAAAATGAGGACATTTGTCCTAAGCTAAGCCAGTGAACTAGATCCAATAGTTCTAGAAATTTTGAGGCAAATTTAAAATATATATGGAAACGTATAAAGAATGTGTGTGTGTAGTGTATTTTATACATATGCTAAGACTTAAAGCTCATCATTAAGGCTTCACCTTCAATAGAAGGAAAAAAATATTGTATTATATAAAAAAGGCCAAAATTAGCAATTTAAAGTAAAATTGTAAAAAGATTTTAATTTTCTGACAGAATAATATGGATTAAATCAATTGATGAGCATGTTTTTAAAATAAATTTGTTTGATAAAAATGGCAAAATTCTAAGTGAAACCATTTTATGATACCATGTCCATAAAATGATAATTGAATTAAAATACTGTAAAGCAAATCAGCTTCATAGTAAATAGCATACACCAGCTAAACCCAAAAGTCAGTTGAATACAAAAACTGAATTAGTCTTGCAAACACTTTAGCAAGCGCTATGGTAGAGTCATATTTTTGGATTGTTTAAGCAAGCAGAGGAGAGGGGGGGGTAACCTTGAAACAATGTTCTAATAAGTTAGAAAATGGAAGATCAGTTGTAAAGCATTTAGTATAGAGCATCGTGCAGAAAGACTGAAGAGGGAAAAAAACTTACATGCTTTGTTTGTATTAGTAATAAGGCTGAACTCCTCCAATATTTTACCTGCTTGGGCATCAAATTGATACTGGCATTGGTCCTTTGTCCTCAATTCTAATGGGGGTAAAAAATAATAACCTAACCAACATAGTTGAAGAACAGACAGTGGAAGAGACAAGAGTAAAAGATTCTTGAAGGAGCAATTCAGAAAGTGGCATAAGAATCATGTTGATAATTATGGCCACAGATTCAACTGGACTTAAGAGTTTGGCACTAAATCTAATTAAAATTATAAATAATCCCTATCTTAAATCCCTAAGGTAAGTAATACCTTTTTCTTTTTTAATTTAAATAATTAGTTATGAAAATTTTAATTTTAGATATCTTTCAAAGTACTTTTAATTAAACATAACTATATTAATTTCTGAAACAAACTTTTGCAAAATTTTACTGCAAGAAACTTTCAAAATATCAAAAATAAAATAATCATTTCATAAAAACCACAAATTCCCTGAAGAAAAAATAAAAAATTGTTTTTCAAATCCATTCACAAAAATTGTATATCTCTCACCAAGGATTAAGACTTCCTCTAATACACATTTGGAAAGTTAAAAAACTGTTTCATTCAAAATTTGAATATTAAGAAAATTTAAGAAAATTTAAGAAAATTTAAGAAAGAAAAAAAAAAAAAAAAAGGTTAAGTTTAGTAAGACATCTCTTCAGTTTTCCTAATTTATATCATTATTTCATGGATTTCATAATTACTAACTTCACATGAAAGTATTAAATTGGGGAAGGTGCAATGTTCAATGGAGAAAGAAAATCTTGGACTAAGAAACTTCAAATTCTACTCAGATTGATATTTTAGAATTTATTTTAAGATTAATATTGATTCATGGTATATGATCTTAAGATTTTTTTTAATAAAATAAAAATTTAAGCGAGTTTGAGCTTAATTGTTTACTTCACATCTCATTTTGTATTGGAATATGAGTGGAAGTAAAATTGAAGTTTAAACCAGTTTTTATTTGCCTATTAAGTTTGTTTTTCATAAGATATTTCCTCAACTTCAATTGAATAACATGGCTGTGTTGTTGTTGTTTTGTTGTTGTTTTGTTTTTTTTTTAATTAGATATATAAATGTAACAGTGCATAAAATTTTAAATATAACAAAGATTAGTAATATATTGCAAGAATTCATGGCAACATTTCAAAATAAGAGAACCAATACAGTTCAGATTTATACACTGGTTTAACAATTCAAATATATAAACTAATGATGTTTAGCTGGAGAGCAATGATTAATACACAAGTCTCTGAAGACAGAGAGAGAGAGAGAGAGTTCAAGCTTCACAAGTTTGTCAATATATGGCTTTTTATCTACCCTGATAGAATACAGGTTAAAATTCCTGTATTGGTAATTCTATTGGTGAACAGAAACTGACATTCAAAAATTAAACTACTTCACTGCAAAACTGAGTTAATAGTAAAATCCAGTTCTCAATTCTCGCGATAGTAATTTGGATTTACAGATTAGCATCTTTGAAAAAAAAAAAAAAAAGAAGATTTATTTAATGAAAACGTCTGTTGAACTTGAGTATTCCTTTCACAATTGAAAAGACAAAATAAAAGAGTGAAATGATTTCTGATGCAAATTTTTTTTTGTCTACTGAAGCCAGTGTCTCATACCCCCAACTCTCGACAATAATTAATCATTGATCGAAATGCTTTCTCAGTTTTATTCCTAACCAAATGAAGTGCATTATTCACAATTCCTCTTGAAATGACTCAGCTGTTACACAAGCTCTTGCCACAGTAAAATAAACGTTTTTGTCCCTCACATTTTGTGCTCAACCAAGAGAGAAAAAGAGGGAGGGGGCTGGAAAGGGGGGAGTATGCTGCATTTTCTTTTGCACTCAGTTACTTAAAACATCTAATTAAGTTTATTCCAGCAAAAGGAATAATAAAATTTCTTTCTTATATGTAATTTACACCAGTGCATCTTAAAGTGGCAAATGATTATTTCTGTGGGTGAACAACTAAATTTGCCCACATTTTTTTTTCTGTACTTTAAAATGTGGTTATGAAGCTGATTTTTTTCTTATTTTAAATGGTAATGGAGATGGAAATTAAATTTATTGAAAGTTTTTTTTTTCTCTACAATATGGTTTTCAGATTTCAAAAGAAACATCCCAGTTACTATTTAAGCTTAAATTGTTTTTTTGTTTTTTTTAAGGGATATTGAAAAACTTAAAAATAATTACTTGGAAATCTTTTTTTTTTTTTTTATATACTTATGATATAACAATAATGTATAAACAGAAAATATATTAAATACTTATAATATACAGAAAACAGAAAGAAAAGAAAAAGTAACAGGTGAATGAAGTTTTATGACATTAAATTAATATAAAAGGAGCACAAGCTTGTACTTCACTTTATTTCATCATTTAAAAATCAAGCATAAAATGATAGAATTAGTCATAAAAATACACTTGATCTGCTTGAAGTTTTTAAAATTGTGAAGTAAGAGTCCTCCCTTATTTAGAATATAAAGCTAATCCTATACATATAAGAAAGTAAAATTGAAAGCAAGTCTTTAAAATTAGTGTCTACAATTAAAAGGTTTTACAAATTTCCTAGATATCCTTCTATAACTAATTAATCTTAATCCTTATTTTCTCAAAATTATATTCAGTCCATACAGCTGAAAAAGAATTCAATGATCTGAACATTTCTTTGTGTTCTGTTGCAAGGCAACTGAGGTTATTGGTTGAATTCCTTTGAGAGAGAAAGGAGGGGAAAAAAAAAAAAAAAAAAAAAAGAAAATCTAATTTTCATAGTTAAATTAAAATAAGTTGTCTGGGAATTTATTCTAAAATACAGAAAGTGAAAATATATCCAAAAAGCATGCTAATACTCAAGTAAAAATTTTAAAAAAATATTCACTTCATAAACTGAATACAAATTTTAACAAAATCATTAAAACAAATTCCAATATATTAAAGTAAAACTCAGGATTACAACAGAATCGTCATTTTTTTTTTTTAACTCTTATGACGTACTTTATTATGGGTACTCTTAAGAGAAAAAAAATGTACAAAAGAAAAGCCAAATTACAACTAGGACTTTATTTTTTATATAAAGTGAGTAAAAATTTTTTTTAGTTAATACAATATTTTAAAAAAATCTACAACAGAAGCGATTATCAATAATAACACAAGTAATATTAAATTAAATGGGGCTCATCATTTAAGATTTTAAAATTGTAAATACAAATTTGACATAACATTTTAAGTCTTAAGTTTTTGGTTATTTACAAAAGTAAATAAAGATTCAAAATACTAGAAAGGATAAAAAGAAATTCACACCATGCATCTTAATTGATGATAAAAAAAAAAAAAAAAAAATAAAAATAAAAAAAAAATAATAATAAAAAAAAAAAAAAATACTCACGAGCAAGATGATCCAGCATGTAACTGAGAAGTTTTTGGGTCCCATTTGGTTCATTGTAAAGATTTAAGATATCTGGTGACAGTGGATTTCCTTGCAATCCTTAAAATAATAAAAAAAGAAAGATTGCATTCAGAATTCAACTTTATTATAAAAAAAAATTTGAAAGTGGGGGAAGGAGGCAAAGAAAAAGAAGCTAAAAATTTCCTAAAATTTCCTTTTACTTTCAGCAATAGTTTCCTAGCATAACATTTATACAAATCTTATTCACTTGCCCACTTTTTTCCAGATATTTTATTAATACTTCATTTTCTTTAATGATAAAAGTAACTTAGATACCTGAGTTTAGAGTATTTCCTCATCAAACTGATAGCTTGATTATCAACTTGCTGCAACTACTATACTTAAGAAAAAAGTAAATATCTACCAGAAAAAAGTACCTTTCAAAAAGAAAAGGGGTAAAAATACATATACACAAAATATATAATGAGCAAAAATGTTCATGTAGGATTTGTAACATTAAAAGTAGGTACCATCACTGAATTTTCAATACCTAAGTTTTAAAATTAAACTTTAAAAATGAAAAAGCGTTCTTGAAGATTTCATTCTAGTTTTATTTGAAAGCTAAATGATTAAATTTATTATTTGCAGTAAGTAGAATATTCCGGTGTATTTAAAATAGAAATTATATAGATTGGAATGTCAAATAGTTGTTTGATTTTTTGACATTTTCTTAACGTATAAGAAATTTGTAAACAAACAAATTTATCAGGTTTAAAATTTGAAAACATTAAATTATAGATTTGTGACATTTGAGTAAAATTAGAAAATTTAAAGTTAAATTAATCTGATTTGAAATAAATATTACAATGTTAAACAATATACAAGCATTTCTTAATGATGTGTTCCTTTCTTTCTTTGATTTTTATTGAGAAGCTCTTAAGTTGATAACAGCTCTTATGGATGACCATAAATGACATTTATGAAAACTAAGTGAACGCATTTTTTTTTTTTTTTTTTTAACTACCTAGGAATTTTTACAAATTAACATTTTTAGCAATTATTTAATATTTTATTGACTTTAGTTAAGTTTTTAAAGAAGCTTTATGAAATTTGCATTTTGTCTCTAGGTTTTTAAGTTTCCTACCTTAAACAAAAAATTAATTAATTGAAGTAAGACCCAAACTAAAATAAATACAGGAAATAAAAATATTTAGTGAAATAGCAATTAAAAAAGTGAAACTTTTTTTTTTTTATACTTTGAAGGGATGATTTGCAAAGATGTTAATGATGAAACAGAACTGAATTAAAAGTGAAATAATTGCAGTGCGTCAGACGACACTTAAATCATGTGACCTTTTTAAAGATTATGTCATCTATAGATTCCCATAAGTAGGAACTTTTTTTTTTTTTTTTTCACTAAAAATTGTTTATAAATTATTTGGGTACAAATGACTTTATGAGCTTTTCAAATTTTTATTCATAAATTTACTTTTCACTCAATGATATCACCAAATTGTATTTTTGAAAGCAATGAAGAATTTTAAACGATTTTTGAACTTTTTTATAATTTAAAAAAAAAAAAAAAAATTTAAAAATTCATTATTCATTGAAAATTTTTTATTTCTTCAGACAATAGTGTCCTTAATACAACATATTTACAAAAGTAATTAAAAGCTTTTCTAATTAGATGAATGTCAGTTTTATTGCATTTTTTATTTTACAATTCAGAGCAGATTTTTGATAAAACAGGTAATCGTTTTACAAAAAAAAATTGTGGATTTACTTTCTCCAAAGAGTCCTGTTTTTAACTAATAAAAAAAAAATCCCCTCCTTAAAAATTTAATTTCTCAAAATTTCATGAAATTATGTATGTGAGTGGTAACATATGCAAAAAAAAATATTTTTTACCAAGATTTTCTAAAAAAATAATTTCATTCATTTCTGAACATACCCTGAAAGTTTCATTAAAATCCGACTTTGAATTTTCAAGAATTTCCCAATCAAATGTGTTTTTCCTTGGAAAAAGCACAAAATAAAATTGATTTTTGTCTCTTTAGTTCACTACTGCCATAAAAAAAAAAAAAAAAAAAAAAAAAAAAACTTTTCTCTTAATAATGACAAACATTTTGATGACAAAACTTTTCATTGTGCAATGGTGCTTTTTTATGCACCTAGTGAAGGTACCTAATTAAAAGAGACTTTAGAAAGACTAATTTATATTAAGCAATTTTTATTTCAATCTTGATTCAAGCCATGAATTTATGCTTGTATGAATAAATGAAGAAAAATGTTAGAATCAGAGAGAAAGTAGAATTTCAGGTAGACATTTAAATACTTTTGTATATGGATCAGTTAAGAAAAAAAAAAAAAAAAAAATCTCCAAGATCTGACATTTGGACAGTGTTTCCTGAATTTATTTTCATTGCATAAAAAAAAAAAAAAAAAAAAAAAAAAAAAAAAAAAAAAAAAAAAAAAAAAAAAGGGATTACAGTTTTCCTTTTTGGTGAACAGAATTTGACCAATACACATAAGGAATGCCAAGAAAGCATATTGATTGATCTTCTGAATTAATTTGTTTTTCTTTATCTACAAGATATTAGTTCAAGAGAATCTAGTGATTGTGTAGATGTTTTAAGGACTTGTTAGCAGAGAATACTATCAAGCATAGACCCTGTCCTCTGGCTGACCCCTGGTGTGGAAAGAGACTCAGGGGTTTTCTGTTACTAAGAGATGAGCTTTTAGTGTCCTTAAGTGCATAATCACATGTTGAACTGGAAGTAAAAATAAAAAGCCAGACAGCACATACATTTTAGGGACACTTCCAGATACACACACACACACACACACACGATTATGTTACAACATGCTTCATAGCACCTATAGGTAATGCTTCAGCAACTTGCAGTGACACCTGTATTACTTAATCTGAAGACTGACTCCAAACAGCTGCTTCTTATCTCTGACCTGGAGCTCTTTGTTGTAGTAATAGACTAGTTCATATAGTCACCAGGTGTGTATAATTCACATTTTTTCCCCCCACAGAGCCTGAATCCATACACTTAATTTTTTTTTTCAACATGTTCTTTAGATACACTACTGCATAATCACAATCCGCAAGCATGGTATCCATAATGTGTTGAAAAATAGCTGGTGCCACATTTATACCAAAAGAAAGTCTGTTAAACTTATATAATCCTCTGTGCGTATTTATGTTCATTAATTCTGAACATTCATTTTCAATCTGAATTTGTAAATACACTTCAGAGAGATCCAGCCTTGAAAATATTCTTCCGCTGTTTTAAAAAAAAAAAAAAAAAAAAAAAAAAAAAAAAAAAAAAAAGATTCCCTCTGGACTTGGTAATGAGTGGGTTATGCATTTTTAAACAACCGTTTAATCTTGTCTTAAAATCCACACAAACATGAATTTTATTATTTTTCTTTGGAGCAGTCCATTTTAAATGGTTCATTTTTTTCTATTACACTAATTCTTTCAAGTGGGTCCAACTCTTGACTTGTTTCAATGCTGCGAATGGTATGCTCTGTTTCATCTTAAACACTGTGTCAAACAGTTTTTTTACTTAAAAATCCATCTCGAATTTTGAACATCAAACCAGTTCATTTGACAGAACATCTAGAAAACTTTAAATTCTTCCTTAAGATTTTTGCTCTGACTTTTTAAAGGGATCACTTATCCACTTATGTTTTTACAATAAACATTTATAGGCAAATCCCAAAGTCCAAATAGTTCCATCCAGTTAGTACCAAATAAAGTGGCATTTTTTGTTACATGAGCTTTAGTTTTTACATGCATATTATGGAATGAAACATTACAAGTCATTTCTCAAATATATAATTTCTCACCAGAAACTGAAATTACAACTTTAGAAGTCCTTTTTAATAAAGGACTTCCAATTTCCTTCCATGTGGTTTCACTGATTATTGAAATATCACTACCATATTTTCCCCATCCAGATTATTTTCACATTCACAAATTTCCTTTCATTTTCTGTGACCATTTTTTCTGTCACAATGCTGTGTATGAATTTCTTCCTTTTAAAATTTTTTTCTTGGTTTGTTTTTGCAGTGTGACTTTATATGTCCTCTTTTACCAGACTTGTAACAGTCTCCATTTGTAAATGGACAGTCTTTTCCGAGATATAATTTACCACATTTGAAACAAGGATTTATTCTCCCCTTTTGTACATTGGTCCTTTACTTGTACCAATGCACATTTTTTCTGAATTGACTTAGAATTGTCTGGCAATCATCCATTATTTCTTGCAATGTAATATTACTGTTTTGTTCAATTTTTGCTTGTATTTCAGTATCTTTTTTTAGCTGTTAAACCATGAATGAAAATTAACTCTTAACATATCTGGAGTAATTTCCTTTATCATAAACATTTCCCATATTTTTTTTTTTTTATTGACAATACCAGCATACGCAACAAAATCTTTGTCCTCTTTTTTGGTTAGATTCATGCACCTCCAAAGAGCATTAAACAGAGCTCTTGTCATGAAAGATTTTTATCAGAATGTATACTGAGTCTTCAAAGCAGATTTCACCCATTTCTTGGGTAATATGTGGTGGCAGAATTTTTCAGACTATTGGCGCTATTTTCCTCAACAACAATCTTGTTTTTCTCTCATCTTCCCAGCTCCGCATTCCTGACTGAATATTTGTTTATATCTATAGAAATATGCAGAAAAAGTCAGTCCATCATCAGGATTGTATACAAATTCTGATATGGTGTTTTGGACACTTTCTGGTGCAAGAAATGTTGAAGAATTTTTTGTTTTCTTCAGAATTATATCCAACAACTCCTGTTGCTGTTTTTGTAGTTCTAGAAACTGCCGATTTTATTGTTGTTGCTGTTTCTGTTGTTGAATTTTAACTCTAAGGCAAAATTTGCTCCATATTTGGAAGAATTTTTTCTTACACTCAAGAAAAAAAAAAAAAATTAAACCCTTGTTCCCAGAGCAACAAGTATATTTTTTTTTTTCCCCCCCCGTACTCATTCACTCAGTATGAGTTTCTAAAATCATTATAATGCTACTTACAACTTGGAGTTCCTGAAAATTCATTAATGTTATAAGTCA